ATGGACAGAAACATCTGTAGAATGGTTTGAGACCTTGACTTCAAATTTTAAGTTTGAAGTTCTCAGTGGAAACTTCAGGCTTTACTACCTTATTTTGAACACTCAACTGTCCAGACTGAGACTACAGCTGCTAGAATTACTTTGGCCAACAGCAGGGTGTTTTTCCCAACTGATTGACTGTTGTTGTTAATATGGAATTTAGTTAAAAGCTGAGAAAATAGTGATCTGGTTTCCAGTGAGATGCTAAAGATCTCAGGTAAATCACTTTCTTCCTAAAGAGGAGAGAAAAATAGCAGTTGCTTCCTGACTGCTTTCAGAAAGAGTGTTGGCAACACAAAAGTGCTACAATGGCAGAAGCAACACTTATGTTTATTTTTCTTTCCTTTTCAGCAACTACAACTCTTTGGGAATTACCAGTATCTCATGCAAGATGTAGCCATTACCCTGATGGTCTGTTTAACAAGTAAGCTTTTAGCAGAGTAAACTGTATTATATTTATCTATGAAATTCTAGAAATGTCCATATAACAGCTTCTGAAAAAGATACACCTTAACTACTAAAACCTATGACTTTTTAAAAAGTAGTGTTGGGAGTAAGTTGAGGCTCAGGCTTGGCATTAAAATGTCCTGTGGCAAACAGGTCTTAGTCTCATAAAATTGTCAACATATTCTGAGTTCTTTGTTGGTTTGTGTCTTGCACATAAAAAATGTACAAGAAATCTCGAAAGGGAAATCTTTAAAACCCGAAAGTCACTTGACATGATTCAGCTATGCTTCACATTGATGGGAAAGCAGATTTTTGCTAGGTCTTTGATATGTGAGGACAAATGCTATCATTTCATTCTAGTGGAATGCTCTCAAAAGCAAGGTGTGGCTCCCACCAGCTATTGCTCATTTCCTTCCTTTGGGATGACACTGATAAAGTGTTTCCTATCAAAGTACTCAGGGCTTCATACTAACTCTTAATAAGTGAGAAAGGTGACTGCTTCAACACAGAGGAAAGGAAAAGAACTACAGTCATCTATTTTTCCTTGCTCAACAATGGGAGTTATGAAAAATAACAGATTAAACATCAGGCAATGCAGGATATTAATAACCTGTCGAATTTCATGCAGCACCTTCAGACAGGAAACTGATACTGAAGTCACTTATTGTATCAACCCAATGACAAAATTTACCAGCATCGGAGATACAAGTAATAGCCATTTGGATTCTTAGGGTTGAACTGTCTATGCACAGTCCATTAAAATATTTTTTCTACATGTTTCTAATATTCACATGGCTGGATAATTTTGAATCAATGATATTGTTTCTAAAATGTTGAATATTTTAAAGCAATTTATGTGATTTTCTTATGAACATGGTCAATGATGCTAAAAAGAAAAAAGAACACCGGGAAATTGCAAGAAGTAAGCCAACGGGCAGTAGCTGAAGGGGAAGGCCATGGTCATCCTCCTCCCCTCCTCATCTCTGTGACCTTGGACAAATTATTTATAAGTAATTTCATTATATGAAGTGTCCTCATAGAGTTTTGAGGATCTGATAAAACAGTTCGTGTGAAGTGTGGAGCACATCCCACACTGTGAGCACTCATTCCAGGATCAATGATAGCAATGCCAACCTATCCTTTTTCTTCTTTTGAAATGTTTGGCTAACTCGGTGAGTCCTTGGGAAGAATTAGACCATGTAGAAATAGACTGGTTGATTAGAAATTCAAAAACATGGGTTGTAGTTTTAGCCTTGCCTTAGAATCGCTAGATGGTCTTGAGAAAGTTATTTTGAGCTTTTTATACACTTAATCTCATAATCCCATGATATTTGCTGTGAATTTGACTCCCATGGTAGTGGATATACTTTACTTTTCTCTATGGCAATAGCCTGTCCACCACAGTTCATGCCAGTTGGTCACCCTGTGAAATTTAGCCTCTCATCTCAGAGCGGGCTCAGTAGAGAGCTGGGACCATTGCTACCAGGGTGGGGAAAAAGTCCAGAAAGGTGACAGAGCAGAAGCATAATGTTTTACCAGAATGGCAGCACTTTATACAGTTATTATTCAACATATATGTAGCTGGATCAGTAAATGGGCTAGACTCAGGGTAGACTGGTGGAAGTGAGAAATAGAGTCAGGAAAAAGCTGTTTTTGTTTTTTTTCTACCCTCTACCTTCAAGCACTATTGTTTTCCCGTTCCTATAAACCCAGTCATCCCACAGGCAGATCATTATCTGGTTCTTCCAGGTAGTAAAATGATTTTATGTGTAGATAGTAAAAGTCTCGTTAGTGTACATTTCGTGTTTTCCTTCAGATTCAAAGCTTTTCTTCCCCCAGACCAAGCCTGACAATGGCTTGGGGCAAGCAGCGGAGAGGCGGCCATGGCCTCTGTTCTCCTTGCGTTCCCCGCGCCCCAGCCCTTCCTGCCTCAGGGACGAGGGGGGCGGCGGGAGCCAAGGGCTTTTGTTCAGGCGGGGCACCGTGGTTCCCCCCTGTTGGCGCCCTCTGGGGGCGGCTTCCGCCTTCAGGCCGCCTGCCTGGGGCTTATTGACATCGCGGATGCTTCCTAAGGATTCCCTGGGGAATGGTGGGGACTAGACGGTCCCTGGCCTGGCGGTGCGCTCCCTCTGACCCCTCAGGAGGCCTTGCAGCTGCTTTCTGGGGGCACACCCCACAGATCCTTTCCTCCTGCGGGGCCCTCTACCTCAGGCCACCGCCCGGAGCTTCTGCTTCATGGCAGATGTGGTGACATTTCCACCACAATAGGAAGGGTAGATAGATTTCAAATATCTGCCACTAAAAGAAGGACATATCTAGTAATAGGAAGCAGCATGAACAAGAAAGAGCTGATAAATACAGGGCATGAGTTTTCCAGCTGACTGATGGGTAGTACATACGAAAAGGAAAAGCAGGAGGTAAAATTTGGAAAGGTGAGTGGGATCAGACAGCACCCTGACTAGCGGGCTGAGAACCACGGACGGGCTGCAGACATTAGGAGGCGCCGGCGAGCAGCCTGTCCATGGAGAGTCACTCTCACCAAGGCACCTGCATTTCCAGGTTCCCAGGTTGGAGGCTTTTACCTTAAGCCTGAGTTGCTGTGGGGCCAAGACAATACCACCATGTGTTTAAATCATTTATTTACTTGCCTATCTATGCACATCCTGCCTTGTTCCCACAAGATTTTAAGGCAACATACAAAGGCAGGTATAAGACAAGATATAACATATAAAGGGGAAAATGAAGGAGAAAAGTAAGATGACGTCAGGCAAGTCCATGAAGAAAACGTGTATCTTGAAGTCCAACTTGATCCTAATAGGCATAGAAGCCATCTTAAAAAGAATTTATTCTAGCTACATCTCTCTCCTCTTCAACAAAACCCACTCAAATTAGATCAAGAACATAGAGGAAGGGGGATATTTAAGAATATAACTCTCAAAAATATCTGAGAACGAAAGCTCAGAAGTACCCGGGCCTGAGGAGGGCTACAACACCAGAGGGTAAAAAATGGAGGCTGCTTGCTTTACTTCCAAGGGAAAAGCTTGCCTTTCTTCCTTCTAGTCTTACTATTTTCCCCTGACTTCTACTGCTCATTCACCTTGTAAATGACCCAAAATGGTGACTCTATTATTGAATCTCCATAACCTTTCTACTTATTTTCCCACAGCTAATTAGCCTCTCAGTGTCTCATTTGCAAATCTTTTGGAAAAAACATTTATTGACCTAAGTCGGGTAAGGTGTCCACCTCTAAGCCAATCTCTGCAGTGAATGAAGGTGGTTCTGTTATTCAGCATTTACATCAACTGCTCCAGCACAGGGGAGAAGGCAGAGTCCAGAGATGGAGGCTGTAAGAGGGAATTCTCCCATTATATAAATACATGTCTTACATCAATTCCATTAGTGCTCCAAGTTCTCCCAACCTTTAGTGGGTCTTGGTTTCCTTAGAGAATCTGATGGAAGATATGAATCTTTCCCTTTAAAACTCTCACACAGCACACTCAAAATCTTGCAGGTACTTTAGGTGGTTCATGGGCCTCCTGAAATTTCACTTACATGACCTGAAATGTCCATAATATAAAGTGCACCAACTATTTAGGAGAATCTCACCTATACTATAGCCAAGTAATGCTGAACAATTAAAAACTATCCTTTGAGAATAGAATTTGAAAGTGTTAAGTCTTCCCATAGAGCAGGCCCTGTGCTAGGATGGGGAAGAAACAGAAGGTGGAATGACACAGAATTTCTTCCCTCAGGGAGCTCACAGTCTGCTCAGTGCATGTGTGAACAACTAGATTTAATGCAAGACACCTTCACTATGTAACAGTGATATGAGTAACGTGCTATAGAAACTCAGAGGAGGGAACGATTAATTTCGAGTAAAATATAACACTTCACAACTTTTCATTCCTCTGCACACACCTGATAACATATATCATCATTTTATGGGAACCTGAACAATTCTGAAAGCTTCTTCTGGATGCTAAAAAACAATACTGCTATCAAAGTTTGTATTTCAGGGCTCTTCATTTTACCCTTTGTAATTCATGAGATCCATGCCCCTGCAATGGGCATGGATCAGAGCAGAGAACACAGGGCTTTACCATCAAACAGACTTGAGTCTACATCACCCCCTAGCACCCACTAACTGTGGGGTTTTAAATAAGGGATTCTACTTCTCTGACCTCAATTTCTTCACCTGTAAAATAGGAAATTAAGTATCTATTTTGTATTGCTTTTTAAACAAAGATAACATTTATAAAACACTTAGCATAGTCTCCAGAACCTAGTAGGGACCTTAAATGATAGTCATTATTTTTATTTTTATTTATAGCAAGTAAACAGATTCCCTGTTAAAAAGTATTAGGACTTTCTAATATGGAAACGCTTAAACATAATTTGTGTGAGGACTCTATACCCACGTAACACTGTGTAATAATGAACCAGCCTGCAGACTCGGTGGCTGACAATACCACTCATTGCTCTGTAGCTTGACTGTTATTCAGCTGCTATAGGTGGCTCAGCCAGGCCCTTCTGCTTTAGGATAGACATCAGTTGGCCTTGATTGGTTTGATTCAGGTCTATCCTCATTTTTCATTTTGGGGCCAGGCTGAACGGACAGACCCAGGCATGTTTTCATTGTGGATCACAGAAAGCAGACCAGAGAGCAAGCCCAGCTGTGCAAGTGGGCCTCAAACCTCTGCTCACATTTCTTTGTCCAGAGAAAATCACACAGTGAATCCAAAATTACAGGGTAGTAAGGTACACTCTACCACAAGGAGGCCAATGATGCAATCGACAGCAATCCCTGTGTAAAAGAAAAGCCAGAAACTAGAGAGCATCTAAGAAAAAGAAGACCAGAGAGAAGCCAGATGCAGAGATGCTGTTACACGTCTCTCCACTCCCGACTGCCTCTTTATGAACCTTCTGGCCACATTCTTCCTTGGACTCCAAGCCCTGCAACCTCTGTCTTCTGTAGCCCCTGACCACAGTCTCCTTGCATCCTCCTTAGTACTGACCACAGTCCACAAGTGTGCCCCCTCCTTGTGTGCCATGCAGTGACTTCTCATACTAACTTCCCAGAGTCCACAAGCTTCACAGGTTAAGGGCATAGCCTTCACAAGACTGCCCTCATTTCAGACACCAGCTATAAGTTTGGGGGTCCCCAAGCCACCCACACTTCTACTAGCTGGCTACAAATTTGGGATTCTCACTACCCCCTCAGCTTCAGTAAGTCACATCAACAACTGCAGAGCTCAGGAAAGTGATATACATATAATTACATTTTTATTATAGCAAAAGAATACAGATCAGAACCTGCCAAAGGGAGAGACACATAAGGCAAGGTCTAGGCAGGTCCCAGACATAACACTTCATTGTCATCTCCCCAGGGAGTCAATCTGCCTCACCCAGCTGGCACTTCCGGGTGGGACAATATGCAGAGTATTGCCAGACAGGGAAGCTCAGCTGTGCAACACTGTGGTGTGTTGGAGTTTTTATTTGGGTTTTGTTACATAGACATGATTGAATCATTGGCCATTATGTTGAGCTCCATCTCCAGCTCCCCACTATCCCTGAAGGTCAGGTGGATATCACGTAGCATAAAGCCCCAACCCTCTAATCACGCAGTTGGTCTTTCTGGTTAGGCCAGTCCCCACCCTGTGTCATCCCTTAGCACAGACTCTCTTCGGGCCCACCATTAGTCACCATGAATAACAAAGACAATCCTATCAACTCAGGAAACCCCAAGGATTTAGAGGATACATCCCAGGATTTAGAGGATACATCCCAGGATCTGAGGACAAAGGCCAGCCTTTGTCCCCGTTATTACACAACCCATCTTGTGCCTTTCATTGGACTTCAAGCTAACTGAGGACAGATGAGATATCCTTCTCATCTCTGCATACGCTGCAACCTCAAGCCCAACACCCAAGTCCTGGAGAAATATGATTAAATTGGTAAAGGTAAGCCCTTAGAGTGCCATAGAGCTATAGAATAAATGAGTTGAAAGAGCCTTTGGAAACCATTTAGACATTCCAACACATTCATCCTCTACATGAGAAAGTAAAGGACAAGAGAGTTCCTATGATTACCCCAGAACACATAATGAACAAACCAAAGATCTCCTTCAGAGTTTTATTATCCTAAATTGGACATGCACTGCACACCTGCCCCTACATGCATGAACACAAACCTAAGCATAAATACCCTTTCTTCCTTACATCAAAGAAAACAGTAGTAAACTATAAAAAGGGAAAGGGTGATAGACCCGAAGACAAGAACTGGAACACACCTATGATGTCAGCCTTTAAACATTATGTATCTAATTCCTGATTTCCCCATGCTTCTTTCCTGCTCTGCCCTAAGAAGTACATTCATTTTTCATCAGCTTGTTAGAATTTATGGCTTCTAAGAAGGATGTAGTCATATTTTGTTGGTAGTTGTTCTATTTAATCTCTGCCCATTGTCAATCCCTTAAAAATAAATCCTAGGATCAAAAATGTATTTTGACATACTCAGCTCAAAGCAAAATTTTTTTAATGAGTTCTTTTTCCTAACCAGTCTAATCTGCTCTGGCAGTTCTCCAACTACACACTTACCCAGAAAAGAACAGAACATACCTCTAGAATCTATCTTGATACAATGAAGTGTTCAGAGAATGTTGGTTGAATGAATAATAGAATGCTTAAAAAAAAAAAATTCCCAGCATATGAAGATTTCTCACTTTAGTTTCCTCATCCCAATCCTTCACTTCCTTACCATCGCTGAGAGGTAACAGTACTGCTTATCCATGTGGAAGGACATCTTCCTCTTTTAAATTCCTGGTCAGTCTGGTTATGGAGAAAATATTTGCACTATGCAATGTGGTAAATGTGTTAATTACAAAATTTTTGAACCCATTAGTTTTCGTTTTGGATGATGTGGGTAAAATTGTAACAATTCCAGAATATCTCACCTGGCTTTAGTACATTTGCATATCAATAAGCATTCTGAAGTGGAAAGAAGTTGTGGCTTTAGTGCATTTGCATCATTCCTCAGGGTTGGAGAGAAGTTCATCTCCGTATCAGTGGGTAATTACCTGGGCAAGGGAGGGCTTATCTGTACCTGAGAGGTGAGAGGGAGGGTCGGTTTTGCTTCTGCTGGAGTAGGAAAGAGAGAGAGCCCGGACTGGAGTTTGTAAGCAATAAATGGGTTTTAAACTTTATTTCTCCCTTTGACTGATTTCAGTTTTTAGAGGTATTTTGCCCAGGATTTCCTCTCCCCAGACTTACAGATGGTGGAACCAAAACATGGAGTAGGCAAAGGCCAGTAGCATTGGGTATGCAACCAGACAATGTGCTTACCTTGATGTAAACACTCAATTCATGTTTGCTAAATCTGAACCCTAATGCAAGACTCAAGATTATATGCATCTCAATGTTTATTCTCAGCAATAAAATTGTAATGGAAAAACGTGTTTTTCTTTCAGTGAGTTCAACTCATGCTTACCCAAAGCTGGCTCCATACCGACCAGCAGGACAGCTCCTCTCTCCCCCATTGCTGCTCTCAGTATTTTTGAATACCTGTTTCACCTGCATTGTGCAGATCTGTGCATTTTTCTATGTGAAGCAGCAGCCCTGGTATTGTGAAATCTACAGATACAGGTAAAATTCAATTTCTTGGTTTTCCTTTCTGAAGGTGATAGAATGAGTATCCAATGACATTCTGCAACTTGGTTTCAACATACACCCTAACGTTTCAATTAACAGAAGTTGTATCCCCACACTGTAAAACACCAGTGATGAGACAGAACACAGTAAATGGGTGGTAGAGTCCTGGGGTGAGCCATCTAGAGTGGATGGGAAAAATCTTCACATTGGTTATTGATGTGTAGATCTAACAACTGGTTGACTGAGTGAAAGGATTCATTCCCTAGTAGTTTGGGTATCATATCACATTTCTGGTAGAGGGCCAGATAGTAAATATCTTAGGCTTAGATGGTCTCTGTTGCGATTGTTCATCACAGCTTCCTAGTGAACAAGCAGACATAGTCAATATGCAAACAAGTGGGTGTTACTATCTTCCAATTAAAACTTTATTTACAAAACAGGTGGTGAGTCAGATTTGGCCTGGGGGCTGTAGTCAGCCAGCTCCTGATATGCAAGAGACATTTGCTTAAATTAGTTTGGGTTTTACAAATGAATGTTAATATTAAAATGTTAGTGGATGGTATCATTGTTCTGAATTCAACCCTAGACTTAGGTTTGAATTCAGACTTAGGGAAAGTCTCTTTACCTCCCCAGACTTTAACTTCTTTAACTATAAATTAAGGGAAAGTGAGGTGACCTTATACCATTTATGTTCAAATTTTTTTATTTTTTGGCAAAGCCTGGGGTTTTTGACAAATTTCCAAAATGAAATGCAGGAAAAGAGCTGCTTCTTTGAAATTGGGCTTGTACAAACCCTCCATCCACCTATCACTGTGATCCTAAAGGCACCAGAGCCCCAAGTATCAGAGAAAGACAGATTGAAAAGTACCAAATGATGTCTAAGATTGTCATTCAGATCCCAAATTCAGAAAGTCGATTATTACTTGGAATGTGAAATGCACTTTTGTTTCAAAACCAGATTTCTTTTCCTAATTGGAGTACATGTATTCAGAGAAGTAAAGTTCTTACTGAATCTAGGAGACAACATGGTGTAGCCAAAGGGTGATTAATGGGTAGTCCTGCCTCTGTGCCTAACTAGCTGTGTAGTATGGCTCCTCAACTTTCCTGTTTGTGCGAGGATGCTTTGTGACTACTGATTGTTTGTCATTAATATATTCAATGAACTTTAACTAAACATCTCATATATGCAAAGTACATTTGGAACCCTATGGTGCTGAGGATAATAAGACTTAAGTCTTACATTTGAGTTCACAATCAGAAAATGCATTTTGTATATAGTTATAGTAATAGTAAAAAGTTCCAAGCTGAACAAAAAAGTGAATGGAAACAAATTTGTGGTTTTGATTATTGAAAAAAATAGACATTGCAAATCAATTTGGACTGAGAAATCTAAAATATTTTTCACAGCAAATATTATGTGGTACTGCTGTACTAGGTTCCAAGGATTTGTTGTAAATATGAGTTTACAAAAAAAAAAAATTCACATTCAAGAAACTTTCATCCCATGTGTGGAAAATAAAAAATATGTAAGTGAATAATTGCAGAACAGTGAGATAAATGCATCTAGAGGGAAGAGCAAGGGGCACCAGTTATGCTCACCAGAAACATAAAGACATTTCAGATAGAGTGATGTTAGAGAGAATAACATGACTGCCCCAAAGGGGTACAAATTGTGATATTCGGCAACAGGGGATATTCCTAAATGTTTGAGGTATAAAGCACATGGGAAGACTGACAAAAGATAAGGCCAGCAAGGCAGAGTAAGACTAGTGAGTGAAGACTGGGTCCTGCCTGAGAAGTTTGACTTAAATTTATTAGCAAAAAAGAGTACAGGCTCTCATAAGCAGGACATGTCATGTTCAGATGCTCAGGGGGTACCACTGGTTGTGTTGAGGAGAATGGACGAGAGTGAGCAGATTCCAACTCAGGACCCATATTAGGAGGCTTACACTAGTCCACAGAGCAAACACCACACACACACACACACACACACACACACACACACACATGAGTTGATTTACTCTGAATTGAAAGGCCTTCCATAGAAAATTGCCATCCTAGCCCTTTCAAGACAGATCAGTTATCCCAAATGGAGTGCTGGACTAAGAACAATCTTGACTCCCTCTGAAGTTATTTCTGCTTTGTCATTGTAAAAGGAACAAAATATGTCTTGGCATTTACTGAGTGAACAGTTTAAAAGTTGAGGTCCTTTGGCAATGATTAGCTATTTTTTTCCTACCAGCTCACTAAAAATAGAACAAAAAGTCCCATAAGTGCTGGTGATTATTTTCTAGTGAGTGCTTTCTGGACAACCAAAGTAATTTCTCCACAAATGTGAGTGTGGAAAGAAACTGGACTGGAAATGCAACTCTGATTCCTGGTTCAGTTTTAAGTTTTGAGAGTACCACCCTGTGGCCCATCACCACCATCAACTGTATCACAGTAGCTTTCATCTTTTCTAAGGGAAAGCCATTTCGAAAACCCATCTACACAAACTGTAAGTATATGAAGTTAAATTTTTCTTTTTGATTATTTGTTGCTACTCCTCCCCTCTCCTGGGTTGCAACTCACTGGTGAGATGTTTGGCTGGGAAGGAAACAATTGCATTACTCTAAAATTGAGTACTGCATGATAATTTTAATAGATGATAGAGCCCATGGGCAGAACTCTACTCATTTGTAGAGATTCACATATATTACCAAATGGTCACATGAGTCCCATCCTCCTGGAGTCATCAAGAATGATTTTAAGCACATACATATGTTCAAGATATTTTGTAAAAGTCTTTCTACCCAATTCAAATACAACTTGATCTCTTAGGAGCTTTATAACATTGAGCAAGGAACTTTAATCATTCTAGATGTTTCTTTGATCATCAGTGAGGATGAACATATTTTCATCTTATTAGCTATTTCTTCTTCTCTGAATTGTCTATTTATATTTTTAATCCCATTTTTTTCCTGTGGAGTTGCTGTCATAGCTCTTCTTATCTATTTGTATGAACTGTTTATTCCTTTGTGATTTTTTTCCCATTGCCTTTATGCACAGAGTGTTTTGGCATCACGAAATCAGATAGATTATCACTTATCTAGTTCTTTTTTAGTTTCTTTTAATCCTTTTCAATATAATGCTAATTTTGGCATAAATTTGAGGTGGAGATCAAACTAGTTTATCAAACTAGTCACTAGTTTTCCCAGAAGATTTTATTACTTAATATTCCTTTTAGTCATTTATTCCTCAGCTGAATGTAAAGCCACCTTTATAGTACCTATATTCACATATACAGTGTTTATAGTTTTCTTATATATGTAATTTATCTTATATGTGTTTTTGTTATATTTATATAGTTTTTATATACTTATACATTAATTTATATAGAGAATTAATTTATCTCTATACTATCTTTTCTTTTTTATTATATGCTAGTCCATTCTTGATCTACCACCATATTTTAAAAATTATAGTTTTGTAGTAAGTTTCAATAAATAGTAAGATTGTTGTATCCTCATTACTCTTCTTTTTTCAAATTTTCCTTAATTTTCTTTCTTGTTTCTTCTTCCAGATAAGCTCTAGCCTAAACTGTCAGGCTTTATAAAATGCCCTTTGGAATTTTGATACTTTGGGAAACATTTATTCATTTATACAATTTAGTTTTTGCATTTAAGAGTGTGTCATATCTCTCCATTTTCTCATGCTTTCCTTTGTGTCTCTTGGTAAATTTGTGTCATTTTTTCCATATAGATCCTGCATATTTATTTAAGAAGCAAATCCTCTGTTTTATATTTTTTATATTGTGAATGTTTTTTTTCCCATTGTATTTCCTAACTGGTTATCACTAATACATGTGATTTCCAGTAAATCAACAGTATGTCAAGAATGGGTGATGTATTTCATCAAATGCCTTCCTATCACCTACTTTTTTTTCTCCTTTGATCTATCAAAAGAATATATTATATTAATAAACTTATAGTATTTACATTTATTTTTTATTCAGAACCCTTTCTGAACTTTACTCTTAACCCTTGATTCTTGAGTGTTCTAGAAAGATGATTATTATCATCTGCAAGTAATAATGCTCATTCTTCCTTTCCAATAGTTAAAATATTTATTTGTATTTTCTGTCTTAGGATCTCCAGGACAATGTTAAATAATTGTAGTAACAGCAGAGAGTTCTACTCTTTAATAAAAATACTTCTAGCAGTTTTCACTTGTTAATATGATTTTGAAAATTGGTTCAAAGTAGGTTACATTATGTAAAAAAATACTCCTTTTTCCAGTAAATCAAGAATATGTCAAGAATTGGCAATGTATATCATCAAATGCCTTCCCATCACCTACTTTTTTTTCTCCTTTGACCTCTCAATAGAACATACTATTTTAATAAACTCATTATTAAATCATCTTCATATTCTTCAGCAAACCTTACTTATTTGTGTACTTGGTAGATTATGTATTTTTTGTGGATTATACTTTTATTGAATTGAATTTATGTTTTTTTAAATTACTCCTGTTTTTTATGTAGCATTTTGTTATGTTTGAGTTTCAGACTTGAAAGCTTGTTTTTCTTTCCTCTGAAAAATGTTTTTTAGCTATAAGTAGTCTTTCCATGACAATTTACAAATACCCAGTAACATCATCTGATTCCAAATTCTTCCTTTGAAAGAATTATTTTTTTAAGAATGGATTTAGTTTCTCCAATTTTTAAACTGTTTTTTAAAATAATTATTTTTTTGCCCATAAAATTTCACTTCTTTGAGGTTATCAAGCCTTAGCATAGGATTTGGGGTGGTATTTTAAAATAATTTTTAATGCCTTCTATGATTCTTTTATCTTCTTCTCACCCTAATTATTTTTCTGTATGCTTATTTTCACCAGAAATGTATTCTTGTTTTCTTTAAAGAACTAGCTCTTTACATTTAATAATTCTGTATGCTTTTTATTTTCTAATTTGTTCATTTTTGCTTTTCCATTCTTTTTCTCTTGTCTTACTCTTTGAAAAAAATTTTAATGTTTAATTGATTTTATAATTTATGTATTTTCTTTTATTCTTGTGAAATTAGAAAAAGCACTCAAGACCAATAACTGTAGTTTGAGTTACACTCTACATTTTCATATGTCTCTAATTGTGACTTAATTTCCTCTTTGACCCACTAATTTTCAGAATAGTGATTCTTAATTTTCAAGTGAGAAGAGGTTTTGTTTTCATTCTCCTACTACTCTTCTTCTCAATAGCTTACAAATGAGCTTGATTTCCTTTTGCCCCAACAGATTTTTTTTAATTTTATTTTTAATTGGTATATTTGGAGAGATTTTTCACTTAAATTTGATTAATAATTTCTAGATTTCTAGTTTTATTGTCATCATCAAAGAAACTAGCAATAAAATTTCTGCTTTGAGGAATTTACTACAGTTTTGTATATCACATGGCAGAAACTCTGATCTCTGATTTTCTAAATAAGTCATAGATATTAGAAAAGTAGGTCTCATTCCTATTCCTAATTTGGAAATGTACGTTTACTATATTAAACCAGTTTTAGCAATCATTCACAAGCTCTCTTCACTAACACTTTGCTTATCTGAAAAGATCTTTAGAACAGCTGCTCCAGGACTTGTCTTCCAAATCACCTGTGCAAACAGAGCATCATTCTTCCAAGTTCCCTCATCGATAGCAACTAGCCAAGGAAGGCACACTCACTTCAGTTCTTCACTGCATTTTCCAATCAAACTAAATTAAGAGGAGGGCCTTATGATTTTGCTCTGCTCATTTATGCACTAGTCTGGCTTGCTTTTCAGACCATTGGTCTGAGGGTATGTGCACAGTGCTCAGCCTGGTGCTTGCAAATAACCATACTTTCATTTGGATAGACATTTAGGGCATCTTCTTCTTCCCAGAATCTGGTCCCTGGGACCTGGAAACAATGAAATAACTGAAAAATCCACACAACATTTCCTAAGGTCTTCTTCTTACCAAGCTGCTCAGATTGCTTTATTTTGGAAAATGCAGCCTCTCACTTTTCTTCTTTCTGCTTCACATCCCTCCCAAGCAAGCCTGAGTATTCTATTGGGAGGTGCTACATCTGGTTGTATATTTAATTGAGGCTTGATAAATGGAAGGGTGGGTGTAGGTGTGGAAGGGTGGGTGTAGGCATGCAAGGGTGGAAATAGAGGTCTGGTGGCTTCCAAAAATACGGCCTGCTATAAAGCTGCCAATTTCTGGTTGGTATAGACCTATACAGAGTTGAGGACTGATAGACTAAAAACATTCTAATAAATGAGGTACAGAGAACATAAGAAGAAACCTACTTTGTTCGTTTACAAAATTTGATGATTATTAGAATCATTTATACACCAATGAAATAGTATCATTTTGGCCTGAAGATGCTAATCTTACCACAAAGCATCTGTAAGGCACCATCTACAAAGCGCCTGACAGTCTGATGGACACAGGAGTGGATGAGGTTGGAGGGATACGAACAGTGATGTTAGCATAGTTTCACTCCAGAGAGTTTAGTTCCCAAAGCAAGCAGCTTGGACAGGTGGGAGAGAAAGAAGCCTCAGATGCTGCTAGTTCCTCTCTTAACTCTTGCAATTCAGAGTCCCAGAGAAGCAGATATAAAGGTGCTTTCAAGTGGTTACAGTCTAGTTATTACTTAAATGAAGATCATGTATAGCAGAGCCTGATCTACACCATCTGAAATAAAACTGTGTAAGGAGAACTGGGGAGCCTTTAAAGAGGAAGTGGTCTTTTACCTGGGCTTTTTAAGAAAAATCGGAACTTGCCAATACAGAAAGAAAATCGTCTACACAAGATGTGACCAAAGGCTCCTGTGCACATAAAGAAGAACAATCAGAGATCAGTTTAGAAAGGCTGATGGGAACCAGATTGTGGAAGCCCTTGAATGTCAGTTAAAGATCCTCTGACTTTATTCTCCAAGCAATGAAGAAGCACGAAGTGCTGCCAAGGGACTGACTGTTAATCCATTTATGCACAATTCAGACCTGGTGATAAGGCATCAGGCCCTCTCTGGTGGCCATTTACAAGGGCTGGTCACTGCAGGGTGTCCAGGCCCCCAGGATTCCTCAGGTGGATAACTCCTTTATGGAGTTTACTATAATACATTTGATTAGGAGCTTTCTACAGCCAGCCATTCAAGGAAAGAGTTTAAGATATCACCTTTGTCTAGTAAGCATTAGAACATATTTTAAAACATATGAGGATATATCAAAACATCTGAAGATGTTTCCGTTATTTGCCCAACAGTGATAATTGATTCTGCAAAGTGTGCCAGATTATATGAAACATTCCTTTAACATCTAAAAATAATTCTTGGTGTTTCTTCAGATATATTCTCATTTCTGCTCATATCTGCCTTGGGCCTCACCATTTTCATTCTGTTTTCTGACTTTCAAGATATATACCATGGGATGGAGGTAAGTGGCATTCATGTGCATGTCTCATGTGACTCACATGTGCAATGGGGCCATATTTGCATATAATTTGCAGGTCAGTTATTACCATATTCTCTCCTACCACTGAATATTATGAGGCTATTCTCATTTACTAGAAGAGCAGATAACATATCTGGATCTCACCTATGCTAGCCTCTGTTTCCAAATTAATAGTGTTATCAATTGGGTACATTTTTCCTGTTCACATCTGAAATGTTATGCTTGGATACTTGCTTCTGCCATGTTATCTAATACCATGAAATTAACATATTAATACAATAAATAATTCTTCAAATTTAGTTTTTTAAACGCATTGTAGAAACTTTCTATGATGCAGTTGTGAAGAGTAAGAAAAAGTAGACTTACAGGCCAATCATGTTCTGTCTGTCAGACATTAAATGTAGAAAGTTTTCTTTTGGTGATCATTTAATTCAGTGTTAAAATTAAATTTGTAAGAGGCTATTAAACCCATTCTTGGACCTAGCATTGTTAGAGAAAAGTACGAAAGAGAAGGATTGACTCCTTACTTCCAATCTATGGTTCTGTGCGTGCATGAGCCATACTCAAGCGAAATGATGGCATCAGGGCTTGAAGAAGGCGCGGTGGGAAACAGGAGGAGCGCAGGAAAGAGGGGTGCTCGCCGGGCCTGTGGCCAGCACGTGGGTTTCACAGGGGAGGTGTAACTTGACCCGGGTCCAGAAGGATAAACTAGATTTGGCTACAGAGGAGGGAGGGATATTCCCAAGGCAGAGAATTGCTCAAGCACAAGCAGTGAGGCCTGAAAGCATCTCTTTTGTCTTGAAAATGCACAAGAATGTGGGGTGGCAGAGATGAAAAACAAAAGCAAGTCTTATTCACAGAACACCTGGAGGATTGCCTAAGACCAAGGCAGCATGCTGTGGAGTGTGAGGGAGGCGCGGGTGGATGGAGGCAGCCAGGGAGGTCTGGACTCTTAGGTAGAGGGCAACAGAAGTCATGGAAGGTATCTGAGCAGCTTTTTCAGTAGGGAATTTAAGACACATTAATTAGATGATGGCAGGAAGGGTGTAAGAGCAGAGAGCTGTGAAGAGATAAGCAGTTATGCAATAGAAACCTAAGCCACTCAATCACTTATGAAATATTATGAAGCTCCCAGAGTGTGCTTGGCCCTGGAGTTACAAACAGGAGGAAGACGTGCTCACTGTTCTCAAGTGGTTCAGCAGCTAGGAGGGAAGGCCGTCACATAAGCAATAATTCCAAAGCTTGTGACAAGTGCCTTCCAGGCCAAGGGACGGAGAAGAGACTTCCCAGATCAGGGCAGCAGGGAGGCAAAGGGCCAGGTCCTCCACTATAATCTGCCCCACTGCCGCATCACACAGCCTTCTCTGACCATGCACCTGGTGTGCTGGGTTTCACAACCCTGAGAAAGGCTGTCTCCACTTGGGAGAAAGAAAGTGTTACTTTGAAATAACCCATATCAGAATAGGGTGTAGACACAGGACACCCTGGAGGGTCTGTGGTTTTAGTCTAAAGGCAGCTCAATCCCCTACCCGGTCATCCATAGGCTACCCTCGGGAGCCGGGTGAGTTCCTGTGGATGCAGCCATGGGATGGGATGCAGTTGCACTCACAACAATTAACTAAGTGTATTTGGGGGTCAGTATGTACCCTTTAATCTGTAAAAGGAGATGTAAAAGGTGAATGGATTCAACTTTCATCAAGCCACTAGATTTAGGGTTGTGAACATTTGTTCAGAAAAAGTTTACCAGTTCCAGTTAATATAAACTGGAACCTCTGTCCCCCTTATGTTTTACTCATATGTCAATTTTACTGAAAGAATGAACTCAAAGTAGATTTCTCTTTGGGAGAATTAGAAGTAACAATATTATTAGATGAATGATTAAATCTTGTACACTTTATTTGGAAAGATAAAAATGAAGAGAGACACACAGGCTGCAAAGTGCTGTGCCTCATGTCTGCGACTTCGGGCACATTTGTTCAATGTCTGTTGTCATCACCTGGAGGATTGCCTAAGACCAAGGCAGCATGCTGTGGAGTGTGAGGGAGGCGCGGGTGGATGGAGGCAGCCAGGGAGGTCTGGACTCTTAGGTAGAGGGCAACAGAAGTCATGGAAGGTATCTGAGCAGCTTTTTCAGTAGGGAATTTAAGACAGATTAATTAGATGATGGCAGGAAGGGTGTAAGAGCAGAGAGCTGTGAAGAGATAAGCAGTTATGCAATAGAAACCTAAGCCACTCAATCACTTATGAAATATTATGAAGCTCCCAGAGTGTGCTTGGCCCTGGAGTTACAAACAGGAGGAAGACGTGCTCACTGTTCTCAAGTGGTTCAGCAGCTAGGAGGGAAGGCCGTCACATAAGCAATAATTCCAAAGCTTGTGACAAGTGCCTTCCAGGCCAAGGGACGGAGAAGAGACTTCCCAGATCAGGGCAGCAGGGAGGCAAAGGGCCAGGTCCTCCACTATAATCTGCCCCACTGCCGCATCACACAGCCTTCTCTGACCATGCACCTGGTGTGCTGGGTTTCACAACCCTGAGAAAGGCTGTCTCCACTTGGGAGAAAGAAAGTGTTACTTTGAAATAACCCATATCAGAATAGGGTGTAGACACAGGACACCCTGGAGGGTCTGTGGTTTTAGTCTAAAGGCAGCTCAATCCCCTACCCGGTCATCCATAGGCTACCCTCGGGAGCCGGGTGAGTTCCTGTGGATGCAGCCATGGGATGGGATGCAGTTGCACTCACAACAATTAACTAAGTGTATTTGGGGGTCAGTATGTACCCTTTAATCTGTAAAAGGAGATGTAAAAGGTGAATGGATTCAACTTTCATCAAGCCACTAGATTTAGGGTTGTGAACATTTGTTCAGAAAAAGTTTACCAGTTCCAGTTAATATAAACTGGAACCTCTGTCCCCCTTATGTTTTACTCATATGTCAATTTTACTGAAAGAATGAACTCAAAGTAGATTTCTCTTTGGGAGAATTAGAAGTAACAATATTATTAGATGAATGATTAAATCTTGTACACTTTATTTGGAAAGATAAAAATGAAGAGAGACACACAGGCTGCAAAGTGCTGTGCCTCATGTCTGCGACTTCGGGCACATTTGTTCAATGTCTGTTGTCAGGCAGTGGAAGGAGCACAGGCCAAGGGGTGGTCAGTTCTCATTTGAGTCCTGGCTCTGCCATTTATTTATTGGCTATGAATCCTTGGGCAAGGTACTGGCCTTCTCATGTGTGGAGACAGTTATGCATACTCTCCAAGCTCAGAGAGTGATTACAATTATGTAAACTTAATAATATGTGCTTTTTTCAGAGGGTAAGGTATGCAAAATATAAAGGTGGTATTTCTTTTTTAACAGTTCATCCCAACCATAACATCATGGAGGGTTTCAATTTTGGTGGCAGCCCTCATCCAGTTCTGTGTGGCCTTCTTTGTAGAGGTAAAGTAATTTCTGTATGGCTCTTTTTACTTTTCTGGGGAGATAAATAAGGGGGTCTCATTCTCAACAGATGCTCATTTTTTTAGATGAACAAAATCACTTTTGTCCTCCAAAGTGATAGTTATTAAGAGTTTGTATAAGCTGTACATGTTCTCTTTGGTAGAAATTCCTTGGAGAATGATTTAAAATTCTTTGAAGGCTGCATACAAATGCTCTCAGTTCTGTAGCATAGAAAGAAAACATCAAATTAACTCTTACTTTGCCTCACATGAAGTCACTGTATTGTACTTTTCTAGTATTCTCAATAATCTAGTAGAGACCAGACCAGGTGTCCTTCCAGCTCTAAAATTCAGTAAGACCTTTTAGAGTGAAGAACTGTCTTGAGGAGGGTGTCCTTAATTAAGAGAGAAGGGAAGCCATTGCTCATTCTAGTCAGTTCTCACCCTTGAAGGTCTTCCCCTATAGTATTTTTCTTCTACTCAGTGTCACTAAATGACTTTACCTACTCATTGGAAGCTTGAGTACTCAATTTTTTAAGTGACAGTTTAAAAAGTAAAAGATTTGTGTACTGTAAGTTCCTTGGGAAAAGGGATCAACCTACTTAAATACATACAAACACAAATATCTCCTTGTATACAATGAGCATAAAAATTCCCATATTCTCTAAGGAATTCCATTTTTGAGACTACATGTTTTTTCAAATAACCCAAAAGGAGAAAAAAAGCTTACCTGAATGAAGGTATTCATCATAGTATTATCTTCAGTGGTAAAATATTAGATTCAACTCAAGTGCCAAAGTAGAGATGCTATTAGTTTAAATAAATATTAAGTTAATATTTTTATTTTATTAAACATTTTATTTTTATTAAATGTTATTAAATATTAAGTTATACAGCAATTTGAAGAAATGTTATACAATCACCAAAAACGTTAAGAAGACTGCAGCTACAAACTGTATTTGATGAAGTCTAACAAAAATATAATGCAAAATTTGGCCAATTCTATTATTATAAAAGTATAAAACTTGTGTGTGCATGTGAACATAGAAAAAAAAGAGAACTCAAAAAATGGAAAGCAAAACCCATCTTATTTCTTGAGTTCATCTATTCATTCAACAAACCCTTATCTGGCATCTGCTATGTGGCATGTGTCAACAGCGATTTTTTTTTTTTTCTGTTCATGACTTTGACAGTACATTATTTTGTTATCATTTCAGTCTGGCAGTAAAATAATTCTAAGTGAATCACCAGCCAGGATTTAACTAGGAAATCCAGTGGAAATAAAAGGCTGTAAGCTTTCTGCAGATTTCTATGAACATAAGCAAGCTCTTGCTTCTTAAGGCAAAGAACCTAGGGAGCTCCTAGACAGCCGGGATGCCAGGGCAAAGTTGCGAGGAAGCAGCTGGAGTAAGCCCATCTCTGAGGAAGGCCTGGGGGGATGGAGCGCGGCAGTGAGCAACCTGCAGGGGGAGGTAGATGATGGTTTGATTGTTTTTCCACCTGATTTTCCAGGATGCCATTCTTCAAAATCGAAAGCTCTGGCTATTGATCAAAAAACAACTTGGATTCTATTCTAAAAATCAGTATAGGAACTGGCAGAGAAAACTGGCAGAAGATTCCACCTGGCCTCCCACAAACAGGACAGATTATTCAGGTGATGGCAAAAATGGATTCTACATCAACCAAGGCTATGAGAGCCCTGAACAGATTCCAAAAGAAAAATGTGAATTGGGAGGGCAAACCACAGAACAGCATTTTTGGACTATATTATAATCAGCCTTGCCATCCTATATGCTTAACAGCATCCCCTTCTTCCCAGTAACTCACACACTGTGGAGAGGGGGTGACCAACTACCCTGACCTTTCCTCTTGCCGTCTGAGGATTCGAGCACATTTTTCAGTGCATTGAACCTTGCAACAAATGACCTTAAGATGCTTATTTTCACTGTCTTTTCTATCACTGAAGGGGAAAAAAATGCATTTCCTGGGTTCTCTTACTTTTTTTTTGATAAACTTTATTCACATTGCAACATTATCTGGTTAAAATGCACAACTTCATGGTAGTGAAATTAATGGCATGAACATCAATAGAAGAAATGAAAATTGAGTTTAATCTTTGAAAGTTTCACCAATATATTTTTATTTTCATTTACAGAAATAAGAGAATTTGGGGGAAAAAAACCTCTCAATAAATTGTCACATTTAAATAACCTTTTATTTACTTGTGAAGAACATTTATGTACATACCTTTTCCAAGGTCACAAACCTCTCCTTTTTGTTTATTTTCTGTTGTTTTAATTGGGAAGTAATAATTGATACTTACTTCAGAAAATTCAACTCAACTCTAGCAAGTGTGAGAGTGGAGAATGGTAGAGGTGTCTGTTAATTGCATATAATCTTGGCGTGCACACAGGAGATGCTTCTAAGCAAACTCCATCTCCCAAAGCATTTTGTTTTGGGGCCAGGGAGCTAGAAGGTCAAGAGGAAATCACAAAGGTTATAAAATAAACTGTTAAAATGTACTTTTCATTTAAAGAAGCTTGGCACCTTCATTTTCTATTTAGTACTGACAGATGAAAACCTCAAGTTTTAACTCGAAAAGTTGGCCCACATTCAGCATTGCTCATTTTAACAATCGTAGAGAAGGGATTAACAATGCTTGTATCTACAGCATGACAATTATCAGCCTACTAAACAATCTTGAGTTCCATTTCATCTTTTCATGATCCAAATCAATTATTAGATGTGCATTAAGGATCATAAGAAAGGGTACATTTTACATCCTATATGAGTATATTCTGCACACTATTGCCTTTAATATATATTAACCTCACTGTGACCTTGAGAGGACATTTATTCCTAGTGGACAAATTACCTACAAGGCTTTCCTTGTAACAATAATTTTGCCAATTTAACAGATACTTTATGGATCATAAGCAGTTAGTTAACAATTCCCAATCCATAAGTGCCAATTATGTGCCATACTGTGATATATGAATTCAATGTCTTTACAATCTTCAAATCTTGAGTACTGAAGAAGTGTTTTCAACATTTCAGTAATTTGTTGCTGTAAATAGTATTATATACTTTGTTACACAAACCAGCAGCATGAAAGTTCTTATATACAGTTTATATTTACATTTTATTTGTTTTTAGCCTTCTCTTTGGGTACACAGCTCTTGTGTAGTTTAAAATGTGTCTAATTTAATGGAGACCAATAAAAGATCAAAAGGTAAAAAAGATTTTTAGCTTACAATTAACAAATGTACGCCAACCTAAAAAATAAGGCAGCTCAGGTTCCTTGAGCTGACATATCTGTATTTAGTAATTTGACCTTTAGGATGAGAGGTTTCAATTGATACACTAGGACATTTAGATAGCAGAAGATTTTTGTAAAAATCTTTATTCAATAAATGTACACCCTCTCCCACCCAGTTTTTCCAACAACCTATTTGGTATCTGATAAGTGATGATCTTTATTTCACATGCCTTTTTTGGGGGGAGGGGGACCTACTAAAGTTGAACACTACACTTGACCTTGCTAAAAATAAACTCAGAGAAAGGTTTAATAGCCTTGGGAAAAAACTGTTTGATAAAAAGTACAATGAACATGGCCTCACATCCAATGATCACCTATAGAAAAAACAAACTGGACAGTCTCAAACTGTCCATTGTCAAGAATGGCTATTTTTACGGGAAAACTGATGACTAATTGTGAGCTGATTTCTAAAGGTGAGAAAACTGGAGCTTTGAACACCACCTATGCGAGAAATGAACCCATGAATTTAGAAGTACATCTGTGACATTATCCAGCATAGCTAGGACTATCTTCTGGAGTAGAGATGTCCAGAGTTCTCTAGAAAGGTTTGACGTGAGGGTCCTGAAGAAGTCCACTCTGTCCCCAGTTTCACTCTCCCATTTGCCAGTGTGGTAATTCCAGCACACCCAAATCCCCTGCTTTGGGTTACAATCTGCCCTCTGCAGTCATCCTTTATGAAAAGGTAAACACACTGAAGAGGTTAGCACATTTAGCTGCTGTCAATCTCAGCCTAATCTGACAATACTTGAAAAACGTTTTTGTTTACTATTACTAGAGAGGAGGACATAAAACGAATAGGAACTGAATTTAGAATGAAATTGAATGGATAATTTTGGATCATGGTATCTGGTAGGAGACACTCATACTCCCCAGAGAACAGTGGACAAAGAGAGAGTTGTGGGGGTTATCTGGGGACAGAATTGGTGCCATAAAAAGGGAAGGGATTAGTCCTAAACAGGAAGAGATTCAGGATCTCTGCTGGCGCTGACTGCAGCACATGACCCCTTCTGTTTTCATTATTCTTAACCCTGCAATCAGATTGTAGAGAATTTCTGGCCCTGGGGTAATATCTAAATCAGTTTAATAGGTTCAAGACTCACTGAGTCTTCTGTTTAGTTACTTTATCTACCAAATTCCTAGTTCTTGCATCGCACCCAACCCCCTGCCCCATGCTTTTAAAGATAGCACAAGAAGCCATTGGCTGGTAGTGTGGTTTGTAGTGTGACGTAATAATGTCTGATACAATCCTGGGTATGGAGATGACCATGCACTTTTTCCCACCTGCTGCCAACAAGAATTCTGCTGGAAGGTATTAAAAAGTAGTTTGCTTCATTCACTGTATAATCAATCAACTGCAAGAATAAAATCACAACACCCCTTGACTTACAATAAAAGCCTTAACAACTAGCATAGGATATTGTTTTCTAAATGTGGCACCTTCAACGTATTATTTAATGATCTCTGGCTAAGGTTAAAGGTTTCAAACCTTGAAATACTTCACAATCCAGAGGGAACAATGTAGCTCTGTGGCAGTAACACAGTCCACTCTTGTTTGTCATACTCCTGACCACTGAGTAGCTTCCAGGAAATCGCTGCATCTGAGACCATGGAGCAAAGAGCCCCTTATCCCATCCCCCCACCCATCTACGCAGGAGCAAGGAGATAGGGGTGAACTCTCAAACAGCTTGTTAATCCAAGTTCCTCAAACCACCTAACCAAATGCTGTGTTCCAATATTTTTTTCTCATCAGGAAAGGAATATGAATTTGAATGTAAGCCTACGAATTTAGGGTGCTTAACATTTCTTTCAAGTTCACATCCCTCTGACACATACAAAATAGCCACCCTCAGGGAAAGGGAAAACAATATTTATAGAAGATAAAATGATTTGATTTGGTTCAGATCCTCTGCTGGCTCACACAAAAGGCTACTGCTTCTTGGTCAAGCTGCCAGGGCAAATCTATGTTAGAAGAGAGAAAAATTTCCTTGGCTCAATGATGAGATCATATCAGTGAGCAATTTATTAGAGTCTGCCATTCATCACTGGAATTTGGGACAATAATAATGCATTGAAAATAAGTATTCATCTCAGGGTTTTTTTTCTCCCTCATCATAAATTCCTTCAGTTCCAATATTTCTTCAGTAAAATTTTAATAGTATTTTGCTCCTTGTTTTTTTGAAAGAGGCTCAGAAATGAGAAGGCACCAGCAGCAGCCGTCACAAACCCAATGGCACTTATTGCTCGGTTGGCCTATAAGGAAACAAGAAAATAAGAATACATCTTATCCTAAAGGCATCTCAGAGTCCTATACTCAAGTTGTAGCTTATTTCCTGAATTGAATACTCATTTTAATGTACAATGGATAAATTTAAAGTTAATGCAAAGTTAAAATTCTGTATGAAGAGGAAGAAATATATTTATAATTTTTATAATGATCACAAAGATAAATACACAAAGGTAAAATATTCCTCATATTTTATAGCTCTGGCAGTTTATAAACTAATTATTCCACAATTCCTAATAATCATCATAGAACACCTGGGAGGTAGCACTATTTCTGTTTTGCAAAACTTGAGAAGTTAAATGTGATTTTCCCAAGGTCATACCATCAGGATGTTTGGATACAGGAGTTCTGAACCATGTGTTCCCCCCCTACACAGCCCCTACCCCTTAAACACATATTGATTTGGTTGTGCTGGGTCTATACCGGAGTGAATATCTGAATATTCACACACACAGTGTGTGTGTGTATGTGTGTATTTTCTCTGACTCAAAAATGCCTGTTAGCAAAATAATTCAGTGATGTGATCTGAGCTATGTACTTAGAAGCTCTTATTTGGTAGATACAATTTCTTCTGATAAGCAAACTTCAAGAGAGTCAATACTGATGCCAACTATATTGTGAAAACTTAATTTCTCATGTAGACAAACTAAAACAAACCACTCTCAAGCTCAATTGTCCATAAAGGAGCTCAGACATTTATAGCTTTAAGATTATTAATCATCATCATCGTGAGGGATCTAATGAATATCCATGGTTTTCATGGTACTCAACTAATACTGTCTTCCACCTGCACAGGTTTGAGTACAATTTTATGACCCAAAGGCCACATTCAGATATTTCAGAGTCATCAGGTATTCTGAAAATAACAGTTGTTCTGAGATTTAAGAATCAGGCTTTCAAATAAAGCAAAACATTTTTCCTAAATGAGTCTGGGAGCCAGTCCAAATGTTGGAAAGCCTGACCAAGCTCATACTTGAGCATACCCTCTGTCTAACACACAGGTCCTGCCGCTGAGCCTCCCACCCCCACATTACTGGCACATGGTGCTATCTCCCTCGCTGCAGCTTCCCCCTGGGAACAGGCAGCAAGGACCATGACCAGGAAAGAAGCACAGACAGGAGTTTCACTCCATTACACCATCTTGTGATCTGTAGGGACAAGGCCTATAACTGGACCTCCCCTGCCCTGCTACCATCCCCAGTTGCCAGGGAGAATGGCACTGGCTAACTACTGACAAATCCTAATTTCATTCATTTTGTTGATTCTTTTATTTATACTTTTTAATTAGTTGCTACTAAGATATTTCCCATGAGAGACTCAGAATTCACTGCAGCAGAAAGCCAGTACTGAGCACATGGAAAGCAAAGAGGGGCAGAGAGACACAAGACACAGGACAAAATTCCAAAGAGGAGCAGAATCATAATCAGACAGGGATCAGGATTATAAATGAGGCCAATCCTTATATGATTGTAGGCAGATTCTGAGATCCCAAGGAAGTCTGATACAGGGAAATGTGGGAGGCAATGGAAAAATAGGAAGGTACAATTGGTGTCTTTAAAGAGAGATGTCAAATGGCAGCAGGGTACAGTAAGGCCCTGTGAAAATGGCAGGATCCTTTGGGTAGGGTGGCCCCAGCTGGATGCAGACCTAACTCACTGGGTATCTTTCAGCCACTAGAAACACATATGTGAGATCATATCAGTGAGAGAAATACCATTAATCTAAGAGGCTTGAGAAAGGGATGAGTAACTAGACCCTAAACCAAAACCCCCTGAGATTGTAAAGGCCAGATACAATGAAAATACAGCCACTTCTGGCAGTGCATGCAGTTTCCCAAACCTCAAATTCGTGTTTCAAGTTGCATTCTAGATGGCAAAATGCCACGTAATTTGGATAGTCCCTTGCAATTATATGTGATGGTACCTGACCAGAATTATTTAACATCCTAGGATATTGTTGAACCACCATGAACAAGAGCTTTTACTTCATGGTGCCCTTCATGCACACTTCCTCTGATTCTGCACGCTTCATCCTGTATATGGCTTTCTATCTATGGGCTGTAATCAAGGCCTCATTCTGAGGGTTTACACATGCCCAGTGAAATGTTAGCTGGACTTGGAGGACTGTGTCCAGACACAGTGTTTACAGATCACTACAGAGTTTACTAAAATAAACTCTTCCCCCAAGACTCTTAAGGCTGAGGTCAGGGTATATTGTGTATCAGCTTGTCTGGGCCTATTCAACGGTGCTTTCATTTTCCACAAAGACAGACACATTTTAATAACTTTATTATAGACCATAACAGTACAAAATGTTGATTTTAGAAGTTTTTAGAATACAGAAAAGACAAATCACAGACAGATGCAAAAGACAAATCTGATAAAGTACTGTTATCTAAAATATGCAAAGAACTCTTCAAACTCAACAATAAAAAAACAAACACACAACCCAATTAAAAAATGGTGAAAGATGTCAAGAGACACATCATCATCTGTGACATGCAGGTGGCAAATAAGCATATAAAAAGTTGCTTAACATCACATGCATTTAGGGAATTGCAAATTAAAATGAGATACTATTATGTACCTATTAGAATGGCTAAAGTCCACAATGCTTATGATATCAAATGCTGAAGAAGAGGTGGAGCAACAAGAACTCATTCACTGTTGGTGGAAATGCAAAACAGTACAGCCACTTTGGAAGAATTTGGTGGTTTCTTACAAAATTTAACATACTCCTTCCATTCAACCCAGCAATCATGCTCCTTGGTATTTACCCAATGAACTGAAAGCTTATATCCACACAAAAATCTGCACATAAATGTTTCTAGCAGCATTATTCATAATTCCTAAAACTTAGAATCAACGAAGATGTCCTCAATAAGTAAATGTACATCCAAACAATGGAATGTTACTTGGGGATAAAAAGAAGTGAGCTATCAAATCATGAAAAGTAAAGGAGGAATTTTAAATCCATATGGCTTAGTATGGTTTTAACTGTATGGATACTCTGAAAAAGGTAAAACCATGGAGACAGTAAAAATAAGTGGATGCCAGAATTTAAGGGAGAGGGAGGAATGAGTAGGTGGAGCAGAGAGTTTTTAGGGCTGGAAAACTCTTCTGTTATCATGCTGTAATGATGGATACATGTTATTATACACTGTCAAAACCTATACAATGTATAACACACAGAGTGAATCCTAATGTAAACTATTTTAGGAGAGGAAAATTTTTTCACTTACTAATCTTGGGTTCTTAGCCAAGGCTCTGAAATAAAAACAGATTAACTTGAGAAAAACAAACAGAAGTGTATTAACATGTACATTTATTGTGTGTGTGCATATATATATATATATGGGAGAAGCTCAGGAAAGAATAACTCATAAAAGTGGCTTTTCAGGCTTATACAGCATCTTCAATATAAAACAGTAAATTTTTAAAGAAATGCAAAAATGAAAGCAGTTTTAGGCTTCTGAGGGTGACAGATCATGAGAAGGTAAGTAAATACATGAGAAACTAATGGTAGGTTAGTTTTTTATGCAGATTCCTCTGGTGCCCTCTGTACGCTGATAAGGGTCTTATGTTAACCACTCGTTGTCCCCAATGATTAACTTTTGTCCTTCCTGGCAGAGAGGGGATGAAGAACACCTTGAAAATTTATGTCCTCCTTGTAGGCAAATATGGGGAGGGCTGGGAGCTTTCCTTGTATCAGTATCCTCTCAATGGCCCTCAACTCATAGTCCCCATGACATGCATCTTGGGGTGACTCTCTGGTTTCCTTTACTATGGCTTTGGTTAATATGTCTATGTTGGCTCATCTTTTGTAACAAATATACCACAGTGACATGGGATGTTGATGGTGGGGACGGCTGTCAATGTGTGTAGTAGGCAGGGCATATACAGGAATTCTCTACATTTCCCGCTCAGTTTTGCGGTGAACCTTAAACTGCTCTAAAAAAATTTTCTATTAATTGTTTTTGAGTACAGAAAAGAACAGAGAAGAAAAAGATGGGACCATGGGCCATAACCTTTCCCCCTTTCTAATATTTTTTATGCATTTACAGTTTCATAAATAAAAATAAATACATAGTCATTCCCCAAGAAAACTGCTCTATGCTCAAGATCCCTAAGCCCTAAGAGGACCCAAAACTACTCTAATAGTAGGTATTATTAGTTATAATACTATTCATTATTGAGAAATAATAAAAATAACAATCTAAATGCAGTGTTTTCTATTAGATAGACAGAAATTTTATTGAAGACTACCAACAAAAATCTATAAAATGCTGAAATACTTTAATTAGAAATAATATTCATCTAAAGTATGCTGTATATTGGGATGGATAATATGTAATACAGTTTGCTAAGAGACTCAGATATCTCCTATAATCTTCAAAACAACCTCAGTTCACAGATTAGGAAACTGATCAACCTGATAAACAATGTACCCAAAGTCATTCAGCTAGTAAGTGGTGAGGATGAAGTTTTAGCTCAGGTCAGTAGAATTCCAAAGCTTAGGTGGGTTCCTAAGGCTGTCACTGTACCGGCTTCATCAGGACCTGCTAGAACAATGGTTCTACTAGTTGTTGAGAAATGTTTATTTTTTCATGGGTCTTGACTCTGAGTATGAAATGTGAGAAGATGGTGGAGTCAAAACAAGAAGACAATTCTAATTCCTTGTCATTTAACCATACTTTTAAAAACTGCCTATTGAGTGCAGTGGACACTTCAGTATAAAGGAGAAGGATGAACACTATTTCCTAGCTATCCCACTAATTTTCAATGCACTGGCAAGCAGAAATTTGTGTGTATGGCCTCTGTGTTCTGGCTCAGAAGCAATTTATTGTTATATGTGAGTAGAACATTCATTATGTTAATGTACTTCCTAATAAAAATGAATTTCCAATTAAATTATTTCCTAATGAAAACAAATGTGTCCTTTCATTATGTTCCATCCTCCATTTTCTCAAGCTTTCACAAGAATTATAACCTCATTCCTTAGAATACATGTTGATGTAACTGATCCACCATTTCAAGATCTAGGAGCCTTATACACTCATTCTTTTATATCAATTCAATAAATTGTTAGGTGAAAACATCAATGATGGAATTGGATTGGTGGGACGATAAGTAGGGAAAGTGCAATTGACTCAGGCACACTTTAAGCTAGGAATCTGCCATACTACAAAATACTGGTGGTAGATGACAAAATTGCAAGCTACTTTAAAAATAGTTAATGAATTAAAAATCATCTAAAAACTCAATCGATCTACTTAAAAGCACATTTCCTTGAAAATTAGCATTGCAAAGAAATGGAAAACATTTTCAAACCCACTAAGATATGTCATTAGTTAGTCCCTGTCCACTAATGGAAAAGAATCTTAGAATTACCATCTATGTTTTTAGCAAATGAACTCTCACTCAAAAAAAATTCAGCATTCTTTTCAGTATACAAGGTCACTGATTATTGGATAAGGGGAAAAAACCCAAATGACAGAGAGCAGTAAGACAGAAAGCTATGATCTTGCTGGCTTCAAGTCCCTTCTAGCCCCAGATTCCTGATATCTATACTCTGGTTTTAGTTTGGTCATTAGCTGGCTGCATGACCTTGGACAACTCAGTTCCTTTCTTTATCCTTCATTGTTCTCATATTTTCTTTGTTCTTTTCATTTTGCTTGAGGCCTTATCATAGTCAGTAGTTACTATCTTTTGAATGTAAGAAACTTCTTATATATCTCCTAGAGAAAACTCACCTGCTCTGAAATTCCTTCTCCATAGCGAAGCAAAGTCACAAAATGCTCACAATTGTTGACAAATATGTCATACTCCACCTCTTGTCCAATAACATACTCTGAACGTTGCATGACTTCTTCCACAGGGAGAGGGGGGTATGCTTCATCGTATTTATTGTTTATTCTGTATGTGTCATTTCCTGCAACATCCTTCAGTAGCTGCATCTTCACCAGGGCCTTTCTGCTGAACACAGACTTGGCGCTTGTAAATGATGAGGGAATGCCATCTTCTACAAGGAAAATTCTAGTTAGCAAGATACAGTGACCCAGGCCCAGTGAAACCCTATGCCATCAAATTCCAATGCATGTTTTTGAAAGTATCAGGATGACTAAATGCAGCTCTGTCCCAGACTTATCACAAGCCAGAAACCACTTGATCTTACCATCCTTAAGCACTCATTCTGTAATTTATCCATAACACAATACCATATGAGTGAGACTATAAGAAAACTTTTTGAAAATTTGTATCTCCCCATAGAACAAATACAGTGAGAAAACTCTATCCAACCATCCTTAAGCACTCATTCTGTAATTTATCCATAACACAATACCATATGAGTGAGACTATAAGAAAACTTTTTGAAAATTTGTATCTCCCCATAGAACAAATACAGTGAGAAAACTCTATCCATTCTTGAGGAATAAATTCTCTATCAATTGGTATTATTATTGGAGATCTTGGTACACATTCCTAACATAGTACAGATAAGATCACCATCCACTTTCTCGATAAAGCAGGCTTTTCACTATCTGAACCCTTCAAAACTAACATCTCTGGGTCTCAGCATAGTGTATTATAATTAGTAGGCTCATCCTAGTGTCTAAGCTGTACTCCTTAACCTCTCCTCCACTTTTTACACTATTCTTTCAACTTGGCTTCAGTTTGGGTCCAATTTGAAACCTATATGGTACCTCAGTCCTTTAAGGGTCAGCTGCCTTCCAGGCAGGCTGGGCCCTGCTGTTGTCTTGCCAATTCCTTTGGCAAAGAAACTAAGTCCTGAAACTGATCCTAACCTAGTAGGCACTGTCCACTAGATGGGCCCCCATGCTATGCCCCATCCACCTCTTGGAGTGGCACATGCCTGCCGGCCACTCCATTTCACTGCTTCTGCTGGGAAGAATTTGCCTAGACTGCCAGGAACCTTTGCAACCTGGCCTGCCACTGTCAGTATCTGAGCCTGAACAAATGATTCTTCAGTGTTCAGCTCTAATGGAGAGGTGCCCACAGTACCTCTCCATCTGCCCAGGATGGCTATGCTTGGCCAGTGTTCAAGTGAATATGAAGGGAAGGGTCGCTAAACAACCAGCATTTAGACACTTTCTCTTTTAGTAATAATTAAAAGTAAACCTTCTTTTCTACTTCTCTTTTTTTTCTATCCTCCAAGCTACTTTTCATGGGAGCAGCATTTCCAGCTAGTATCTTACACACTGAAAGTTCCTACAGCATATATATCCTAGTTAGAATTAGTAAACTTCTTTTAACTGGTCTAATGAAATCAATTTACAGAAGAGGAAATTGAAGTTTAGGGAGGTAAACTGGCTTGCAAAATATCAAAATATTCTGTAGTTAACAGAAATAGGAATTAAATTTCAGTCCACAGGATCAAAGCTCAGTGCTTTAATCTCAGAGCTTAAGACATGAAAATGGGGAAACAGTACCAAAATCTTATATTATTTTCCAGATATGAAAACTCAGAAATAATGTAGAGAGTTGTCTAAACTTAATCACTAGACTCTGCAGAAACTAACAGCTAGCAGCTCTGTATTGTAAATGTCACTTTATTTGCCATTTCCATAGCCAGTTCTCCAGAACAAGAGGCAAATATCTCAAAATATTTTAAAACTACTTCATTAAAAATTCTCATAAGTTCCCAAGACAGTAAGACTTAGGCCTATAAACACTTCTTTTTAAGGATATCTTGGAAAAAAAATACTCCTGGATGTTTGTTATTTGCATACATTTTTTTTGCTAATAAATAAATCTGATGGTTATTTTTGTACATTTACAAAACAGAAAAAAAAAGCATAAATATCTAAATATAAATCACCTATTATCCTGCCACCCAGAAACAACTACTATCATTATTCTGATGTACTTCTATTATGCCTTTAATCAACACATCTGTAGATGTGCATATATGTGTGCAGTCATGTAGGTATAATTTTTTTGCAAACTGGCTATCATTACATATTGTATTTTTCATCTGGAATTTTCACATAAATATCATACAAGATAATCTTTCATGTAATTAAACATGGCAGGAAATATAATTTTTAGTGGCTATTATAGTGACTGTTGCTTTGATCTATCCAGCATCCTATTCCACCACTGCCTCTTTCTTTCTGAAAAAGATTCTTTATAGGCCAACCATAATATCCCATTCTTCTGGGCATAGGACAGCCCAGCAATAGACACAAGGATCAATCAGAGCTGTTTTCCATGACTTTTCTAACTGCAGTGGGCTGGGATTAGCTTTCTCTTCTGTTGGGTCACAGGAGGATGCTGATGGCTCCGAGCCCTACTTCTGAGGAAGACACAGACTGGGAGAATGAAAACAACAAATACAAAATGCTGAGGCAGACAGTCTTGACAATTATGTTCAAACCCCTATTTCCAGGTGTCTGTGAGACAAGCACCACCTCTACTCTTTCTGTAGTTTTCCTCAGTGAAGCAAGGGATTTGTCTTTTTGCTTAAAGCTAATTTGAGTTTGATTCCTGCTACTTGTAACTAAGGAATTCTATCAAACACAGGTACCAAATAATTCTGTGGCTAAATCATAATTCATTTATTCCCCTATTGAACATTAAGCCATTGCCTATTTCTTAAACCATTATAAATGAGATAAAAGTGAATGCCCCTATACAGAAATGTTAGGTCTACATCTCTATAAATAATTCCCAAGAACAGATTCATAGAAGTACAACAAGGTCAGAGCATACAGACTCTTTCAAGACTCTTAGTACATACTGTTAAACTGTTCTCATGACTGATGCTATCAGCTTTTATTTCTATCAAAAATCTTGGATTCATTCATTATACTCGTATCAACAATGTTATCATCTTTTAAACCCTTGCTAGTGTGATAGGCATAAACCTGCCACTTTATTTTATAATTCCTAGATGACTAAAAAATTGAAACCTTTAAAATTTGGTGTTGGCTTTTGCTTTTCTTCTTCTACAAATGTTCACAATTCTTTGACCATTTGTTTGTAGGGATTTTGATATTTGCTGTTCCCTCACCCCAGAAACTCTTTCCCCCAATATTATCTGCCTGGTTTCCCTACCTCTTCCAAGTTGTTCCCCAAATGTTACTTTCTTATGAGATTTCCCTGACCACCTCGTGTGAACCTGCAGCACCCCCAACACCCAGGAATTCCTACTCTGTTTCTTTGCTTTATTTTCTCCATATCACTCCTCTTTATTCTAACATTGCTCTCTGTGTTTTCTTCATGGTCTCTTTCTCCACTAAAATATAAGCTCTACATGCAGGCAGGAATCTATGTACCCTCAGCATCTAGAACAGCATTTGCACATACTGGGTAATCTATAAACAGATGTTGAATGAATTGAAATCATTGATTTGTGTGATATATTAAAATGCTGACTCTTGTCATGTCTGTGATATTTTCCCAACTGATCTGCTTTTAAATTGGGTATTTTCTTAATCCAAAGATTTTTAGTATTATTGCTAATTGGGATTTATGATATATTCAATCGCCTTTTGGTCTTAGAATCTTTCCCTAAACCTAGATCAGATAGATTTATCTAGTTTCTGTTATTTATTTTTATTTTTTTAATTTTATGATTTCATTCATCCTTTTTTTTTTATGACAAGAAAACTAAATAGCTCCCGCGAGTTGCTGAAACAAACCTTACCTAGAGGTGCTATGTTGATAACATAACCATCCCCCAAGTACAATGCCCAGTGCTGATAGCCAGGACGAAGCACTTCAATCAAGTCCCCTGGCTGGGGGTTGCCAGGATAGTTCAAACTAAAGCAATCATTAAACGCCATCTGCAAGGACAGACACAAAGAAGATATAGCTGATATGGCTGCCAATAGAAAATCAGTTTAAGACTTCCATGGAAGTATAGAGATACAGTATTTACTGGGATTGTTTCTTATTAAAGACTTAGACCCACACCACTGTCCTTTCTTTTGAATGATTCGAACACTGAAATTATATATGTGTAAGGGGATGGGTGGAGAAAGACTTTGTCTGCTATTGCTTAATTTTTATAGCAATTACTTCTCATCCAGATCAGCCCTAGGACCCCTTTATTATAATAAGCATTTTATAATTCTTTCCTTAAGTCCAGAAATTCTTGGATAATATAATTTACACACATTCCAAAAATATTAATATGAAGCCCTATTTGGAATAGAAAGGGGAAGTAAGCTTATAATAATATCTGTTCTGCTATGTAAATGTTCCATCCACAACCAACTAAGTATAATAAAGTGTCTATATGCTTGCACTTACTTGGCATGAAAAAGTCAGGATTCAGCAGCAGCAGATGAAAACTCTTCCAGCCTTTCATATACCAGCATAGTAAAATCAAAGAGCAGAGGTGAATGCTAATATTCTATGCAAAAAATACTTTGTAAAACTCACTCCATCATTTAATTTAAGCAGATAATTTCCAGGTTCAGATGAGTGTCCAGCCAGACATTCAGGCATACTGTAGGATAAAGGATACAGGACATTTCTTCCTTTTACCAAACTGCTGTGCAGGTCTAGCTACTCTGGCTTTAACCCACTAAATGTCAGGAAATGCCCTTGTCATTGTGACAACACAAAGAACCCTGCAGATTCCACCACTTCCCTCCTGCCCTGCTCACTGTCTGATTCCTTATTTACTGATTCCAGAAGCAGTGCAAAGTGGTCACCATAGAAGGGGACAACTTGGAAGGCTGGGGAGTTCATCATGTTGATGAATATGTCTGGAAATTCCAAGTTTGGGGAGCTTTTCTTCTTTTCAAATCAATACTTTTCAGAAAGAACATGTTAGTATCTGATGGTTGATTTTTATGAAAGGTTAAATCTTCTATGTATGGCACAGAAGTGTAGTGATTCAGCAAGAGGAAGTTACGCACATTCATTGATCAAAAGGAGATTTCATGCTCTATCCACGCTGAATCTCTAATTGACAACAGAGCGTTCCTCATCATCTCTCACTCTAATAAAGACATGTATGCTCAGTTACAAAATAAATCCAAGGGCCAGAAAGGGAAACTTCCAAATCAACTAAATTATAATTATAATAGCATAGGCTAAGGGCTTGGGAATACAGACTATTATTTTTCTGGCACTCTAAAAATCTTTTTTAACAACAATTACTATTGGGAGGGTGTTTTCCCAAGTATTCGTATGCCATCTGTTGAAAACTTCAATCACCACACTGTCACAGAAATGTAGCCAAATGTAAGCTGTCCATCTGTTGGAAAATAACTATTAAAACAACTTTATGGAAACCATTAAATCTAACCACCCTCTCAAATATGTTTGAGCCTTATTAATATGAAGTTCACAATTTGGCCATGTGGATACTAAAAGGAAAAACAGATAACATACTATGATATAAACAAACACATTCCCCATGAATAGGAATCAGCAAGCACACACAGCTGCCTACTAGAATTCAGACCTAGACAAAATCACAATAACCACCATTTGAACAGACGGCAACTGGTAATGTAACATGTTTTTTTGAAATGCACTGTCTCATTTAACCTTATTTAACTTCTAAAAATCTACAAGCATTTCAGTTTATTATGTTATCCCATTTTACGGGAAAAATAATCTATAGTAGCAAATGCCAGCTTTTGGAAAATACCCACTGAAACCCTTATGTGATAAAATAGTGGGGCAAGTAACTGGGCTGGGTGCTATATACCTGAGTTCTTCCCTCAGGTCTTCTATTTACCATTTGTCCATTCTGTCAGTTTGAGCAAGTAATTCAAACTGAGTCTCAGTTTCCTCATTTTGTAGACAGGCATAGAATGTAGGGCTGACTTGTTTATCTCAAATAGCTGTTCCAAGTAATGTTTCATGAATGTGCTAAAAGCTGCTGTGTTTTATGAACTGGCAACAACTAGACAGGTGGCTGGGAACTCAGAGGCGGCTGTTTGTAAAGGTTGAGCTATTGGTTCATGGCTTATGTGTGGTTTTAGTTCTTGATCCTTTCTTTCAGCCACGATGTTATTTAAAAAAGAGAGATCAATGCTTTTTTTTTTTTAATGTAGAACATAGAAAAGGGCCAATATGTGGAAGATACATTAAGGCAATTTTTAGCTGTATATGAGGAAAGTTGTTCTTTCTTTGAAGGTAATCTGACAATGGGAATGCAGCACCTTGAGCAGACAGCAGTCTGTCACTGGGAATGCTGCAACACAGTCAGGATTGGTAACAATAAGATTTCCATGGTGGGGTCAGGGTAAGAAGGCCTTCTGTGGTCCCTTTCAGTTCTAATGTTCTGTTTCCTGAGACTTGTGTGAGATGTCATCTTCAAATCAACACCATAAAGTAGATGTAAATGTTTCTCCCACTTCAAAGATGAGGCATTTGTTCACAGCAGTTCAGGAACTCACACACCCAAAGTCACACAGAAAGGGCAGAACCCACACCTGGATCCAGATTAGCTTACCTCCCAGGTCAGGTTCCTAATCCTAACTGCTTCTCCCCATTCACACTGGTATTGCTGACATTTCTGCAGTGCCTCTTGCATGCTGCTAGACTGGTTAACAATTGTGAGCTGATGATGATGATCAACATTTTACAGATGAGGAAACTGGGACTCAGATGAGTTAAGGGTAGGGCCTAAATAAAGTCAGTAAGTGAGTAGGGCCCAGGTAGTAAGTGACAGAACTAGAATTCAGTGCCAGGTCTGTCTTCTTATTTCAGACTGCATATTGCTTCTTTATACCCCTGATTAATGTCATTAACCAAAGGAATTGCTACTAAAAACATTTCACCCTTTCCCTCTTCTCAAATGCCCATTAAACAGAGAAGCTGCACAAGCACACAGAATATATATTTCATAAAACATATAGGAAGTTTTTAAACACTCATAGGCAGAACCCGTGAGTATGAGAAGTGGAGCCTCGAGGATCCCCTCTTTTCTTGCAGAGGAGGTGTCAAGGTGGGGCTACAAGCATCTTGAAGGTGCCTGGACTCAGACCTTAGGCAAATGGCTATAACCTGTTTGGATAATTTGATATACATGAATTACATCTGCCCACTTCACTCAGGCACAAGTATGTAATATAGTGCTTCAAGAGTATGTCAGAACACAGAATCAACTAAAGGTACATTCATAAACTCCTCTATTGCAACCTGTGTGGGCCACATTTAGGTAAAAGTACTTCATTTTAACAGTTAACCTGCACAGAATTGTCTGATGAGTTTATAATGAAGAGTAGCATGAAGATAAATAAGTAGACTTTCTATAAGAAATTTCCCATTCCAACTGCCCAAACAGGCTGCCCTGTTGATAGCTCCATGTTGGTCCCTGGGGTTGCCTCCAAAGAAAGAACTGCACAGGTAAGGACAGGCTGATTAACTGCTGCTCATGTCTTACGAGGTCACCTGTGTTACAGGGCTACCAAGAGCATCTTTCCACAAACTACTCCCAAGAATGCTGTTGGAAGTCTGAAACACTATTGTGGGCTACTGTAGTCCAACAATCTTCCCATCTAATTTGTACCCTTTCCCACTCCAGCTGCATTTTTCATCTGTAGTCCTGCCTCCCTGAGATGGTTCCATGAAGCCCTGGGCTCCCAGACTGGCTAATTCACAGACCTCAGTGCTGCAAGAAACTCTACAGCTGAGGATTCCACCCCTCTGCCGGATGACCCATCCTCTGCCACTGTGCTGTCATTCTCTGCACAGAATCCCTCCAAGGTTCCTCAGCACTGACCCCCCACCCTGCCCCCTCTATGATCTTGGCCTCCTTATTCATCCCTGCATTCTAGGAAAACCATACTATTCACCATTCCTCACACTCATCTGGAGTTTTGTTGCTAACACTGAACCTTCTGCCGGGGATGTGCTGCCCATTTCCAAGTGCCCCACTCTTAAAGACCCAGGTCAGCTGCCACCTCCTCCCCAAGGTCCTCCAGTCAGCCAGAAATGACTTCTCCTTCAGAGTTTACACAGTGCGCGGTAACTAATGCCTATTGTGTTTCCTACACCTGAGTTGTTACTGGTGTCTAGGAAATAATCTCTTTTGCTCTATGTGGAGGACTGGTTCTTGTTTATCTTTTCTTTCAGTTGCTAGCAGAGCGTCTGGCCCAAAAAAACTGCCCAGCCCATATTTAGAGAATGAAGGAACGAGAAGCCTACACCCAGGGAGGACAGACGGACTGGGTTCTTTCAGCACATAAACTCTATTAAACAGTCCTGAATGCCTAAATAATAGCACCATCCATATTCCCCAAATCTAATGTTTTACAATAATAATTACTTGCAAACAAGACCAGGTTTCTAGTCCTGCCTCTGCCATTAGCAGCTGTGAGACTTGGGGAAGTGAGTCTCTCCCTGTGAACTCACGAATGCCCCCTCCCCACCCCGTCCCCGTATGTTAAAAAGAGGGTATGAGTTAGATTAACTGATCCTTAGAGCTTCCGTTTTGACAGTTGGTTCAAGCAATGTTGTCTGGGGGCCTAGTTGTCCTCGCTCCTTATCCCCAGCACACCTCACGCTTAAGCTCAGGCCATCTTCCCCCACCGGTGGCAGACGCGAGGGTCCCGAGGTCGCTCTGGCCTGGCAGCTGCCGCCCCTCCTCCAGCGGCGGCGGGCCGACTCCCCCTGCCCGCCGGGAGGTCACGGCCAACGCCGCACCGCGGCGCGCACGCCGGCGCCCCGGCGCTGCCGCGCATGCTCGCGTTGCCGCCCCCGCCCCGCGCTGGGCCCCGCGCTGGGCCCCGCGCCCCTAGGGGTCCGCGGCCACCTCCGCGTGACTCCACCGTTCCGCCGCGCTCACACGCCGCAGCCCTCACCCGGAGCCCCTCTGCACTCGCGCGCAGCACGGCACGGTACCTGGCCCATCACACTCCTCCCAGCCCCCGCGTCAAACTTTACGGTACCCAGGGCTGTGCCAGGGCGCTGCGATTCGGAAGTTAACTCGTCTTGTTGAGCCCAGAAACGATCGTGTACACTCGTGCTCACACACCCTCTCGAAGTACATCCTCTTCGAGCGCTACAAAAATTCCTTTACAGTGGGAAGTTCCTAGCCCGGGGCCCGGGAAAGCATCTCGGCCTGATACAGGGGAGGTGGGAGTTAGGAGGGGCCTTAGAAAAAGCTCTCTCCTTCCCACCACCCACACCTCTCTACACCTCATGTGCTTGTGACCCCTTCCAGCCTTCAGAGTGCGAAGTGGGGAGAAAGGCAATAAGGAGAAAGGAAGGGTGACCAGCGCCTAGACCTCCAGGTACTGGTTTCCCCCAGTGGGAAATTTACTCGTCCCCGGATGGAAGGGGCCCTCCGGTAAAGACAATGCTCCCTCGGGCAGCCCATTCCCTCTTCCCTAACCCTGCCCTGCCCTGCCCCTGACAGAGGTCTGGTTCTGCTTAGAGGAGCAGAGCAAGTCCCTTACTCAGCGTGACTTGGGTGCATGTGACAGAGCAGGGCTTAGCTGACCTGCTTTCAGGCCCGATAGGCCAGCAGAGGCCTCCAGGAATACAGCCATGGGCGTTTAAAAATAAAGCTGGGCGTTAAGAGTATCCGTTTTCTCATTGCTAAAAAAGCAAGGCCAGGAGTACTAACCAGCGAAGGAAGCTGGATTGGCAGACTGCTGGCCAAGCGCCCTTTTTTGAGCACCGCACAGGACTTCTCTTGAACACGTCATAACCTAGATTTTTACTCTGATGTAAATGGAATCTCAGCTAAAAGAAAGGAATTTTTCCTACCAATTCAAAGGTTGAAATAGCTTGAGAATTCTGTGTGTTTTGTCAAAATGCACTAAGGACTCAAGAGATGCAGCCGCATTTGTGAAGGAATCAGAATCTGTCTTGAAGGTTAAGGGTGAATCGGCCTGGGCTGAAATTGTGGGTCTGGCTTTGGCAACTTTGGAAATATAGAGTACACAGAAAGATATTAAAGCATGAGGGATCTAGCTGTAATTACTGTCAAAGTGGGAACTAGGACAGTTAGATTATAGCTCAGTTTTTTCATGTGTTAATATTTGTCTTACATGTTCCCTATTTAATATATTTTTAGAGTTATAAATTGAATCAGATATTCCTTTCAATACCCATTTAATGTCTGAAAGAGCAAGCCATAAACATACATTTGCTTTATGTTCCCCAACTATTTCAATTGAGTCATCACTGAAGTGGTTCATGATTTTATACAGGAGAGTTACTGTGAGCATTTTTATAAAGCCATCCTGTTTATGAGCTAAATTTATTATGTTTGCCAGGTTAATCTGTTTTCTCTAATCGGACACTTAATCATCCAATCTCCTCCCTGCATGTGAACCAAGGAGGGTTTCTCAGTCAGGGCAAAATAATAAATTACCTTTTCATTTGGGGTGGGGGATGGGGGCAGTGATATCTGTGATTAAATGCATCATAATAGAATTAAAGTGAAATAAATCTTATAATTTTACTTCCAGATCCCTGCCAGATATAGATAAAGTACATTTGGTTAAGAGTAAATTCAGTTTGATGCCTGAATGGATTTGTAGAAGAAACAGAGAAAGGTTTGTAGTTCAAGAGAATTCTGAGTTCTCACTTCCTTTCTCCCTTCCTTTCTGTAGAGTAGAATGCTAGTTCATCACTCAGTGGTACTCTACGGATGAGCAGAGCAGAATTAAAATTTCCACTCAGAAAGAATGAGGAAATAGCAGTAAAAACCAGTTTGTCTGAATCTAGAGCTGTAATCCTGGGATCTGCAGGGCTGCATGTGGTGTGTGATGGGAACAGGTGAGAGATTACATCCAAATAACCAGTTCCCATTATTTTGGCTATTGTATTAAGTGGAGCATCATGGGTGGTACTGTTGGTTGCTGCCTAATTGATTGAAAGGGTTGAAGCATATTGAAATAACCATAATGGAGATGATTTATCATATTTGTTGTTAAATGAATAAAGTCCACATTCCAGTAAAAGCCCTATAAAGTAGCAAGTCATTAGTTGCCTTTTAACATACAGAGACTAAAACCAATCGGCAGGTAATGTCAGACAGAGTCCTCAAGACCACCCTATTTTTTTGCACATATTTTGTAAAGAGCAAAGCACTTTCACATCCTTTCACTTATTTGATCCTCACAAAAAACTCATGTCTACTCAGGTTCTGGCAGTTTCTCTGAGGCCTGAGCTGGGGGGTGCTTCACTCAGGGTCTGCAGGGGTAGGATGAGAGCAGGCCTCTCAGTGGAAAGTTCTTCTTCTACCCAGACTCTCTCTTTCACTAGACAATAAAAGCAAAGTCTTTCTTTTAGATGAAAAATCTGCATGAATGAAAGATCTGTACAAATACAAGGTGAATGAGACCTAGTACAAATATGGTCTTATAAAGATCTTGTGGCCTTAACTGAGTGTTTGCTGAGATGATAAAAGAGGTTGTTGGCTACAAGAGCATAGTGAGATGAAGACAGTCGTTCAAAACTTCTAACCCAATCCCCTAAATACATGCTGTTAAAGAAAGCTTTCTTCTTGACTGAAACAGTCAGGCAATATTTCTGTTCAGGTTGGATTTTTTAAAAATTGCTCCATCTTCTCCTTCAATCTGCTTTGTATACCCTTGGTCAATATGACTGGAACTAGAAATCTGTTTCCTACAGAGTCCTCATGTAGTACACATCCAGGCTAAGATCTGTCTGTGACTGCTGCTTCCCATGGTTATGTG